TTGTGTCAGGGATGACTCGTTTCTGCCGACAGTCGGCCCACTTCAACCAGTAAGTGCGTGCTTGCGATGCTGACTAGTCGATCCCAACCTTGTGCCAATAATATGAAAGGTACGGCGTTGAGAAATAGGAATGCATCTTCGCCGATTAGACGAAAACATATGGGAGGACTGAAAAAGTCGGCTCTGATGATCATGAACGTGGTCGCTGCAGTAGCAATCGACTGAGACCAGGCGGCGGGCGAGGGGAGTTCGGCGTATAGGAGGGAGGGGGGTGTGGGGTGCCGCGTACGGTCACGGTCTGCTGATAACCTTGAGCACTGTGCATAAATTTGTTCAGAGTACGCCTGTAGAAGGCATTATGATCGACGTACGCTTGCTCTAGGCGCGGGCATATGGGTGCACACGGACAGTAGGCCTGATGGAGGTCTCAAACCTTCGCCCGCTTCGTACGACCCAAGGCGTATGATGACTATAACGCCTCGGACACCACAAGATATGCCCGCCCCTCCCCCTCCCACCAGCAGTGATACTGTGATGAAGCCCATGTCCTCGCGTGCCATTGCGATGCCCGCGCGTTTGTATTTGATTCATCCGACCCTATGTAGCGACGGAGGACTGTCCGACAGGGTATCCGGGACCCCAGTTCAGAACTGCATGTCCTACTGCGTTTGAAGACTGTACATGGTAGGGCGGGGTTCGACCAAACGAGAGAGCGCGGTAGTTGCGAGGCACAGCGAGAGTTGCAGAGTGCATAGAAGTTAGGATATCGTGGTTCACGATCAAGTGTCCGTGCAGGCTCATGGTCGAGTCTTCAAAGCTTCACTTCCGCGTGATAAGTTGTCGCCGGTGAGTCGGCGACATACAGGACATCTCGTGAACGACATGGACTATGCTTAGAGGCTTACGAGTGCTCTCAGAGAAGCTATATATTGTGATACCGGTAACTCGTACAATACGTTGTAAACCACCGGACATAGACCGGCCAGCGGGAAAGGCTTTGACGCGCGTTCGATACACAGTGCAGCCGCGCGAATCCCGCACCAGGCCTGGCACCGGACACCTCCTGGCCCAAATCAAAACTCAAAGCGTGACCTGCCAAGCTACAGATGTGGATCAGGCGGGGACTAATCGCTCGGACAGACAAGACTAACCCATATCTCCGCTTCTATCACCCCCTTCGCTTCCATGTGTATAGTCTCCCTCTCCGTAGCATCGAAGGAAGCCGGTAGTACGTCCTCAAGCAGCCTAAGGATCTTGTCCATGCCTTGATAGAGAGAAGTGCTGAACCAAGGCGAAGTTGGGCAGGACGGAATCTTGCCGACGCTGTATTTGTGATGTAACTCGGATACAGCCCGAAGGTGAGCGTCAAAAAAAGGGAGTAGCTCGTCGTGAAGAGCCAGACATGCCGACCACCAGGCATCCAAGGATAGCAAAGATACCGCGATATCGCCACTGCGAGACTGTTTGGCATCGTATGAGGATACCAAGCGAGTACCGGCGGTTATGTTGCGTGCGAGCGGAAAGACTTCCGGCGACCGCTCTTGAATACGATCGAGTACGGAGCTCAGTCCGCGATTGACGGCTATGGCCTCTTGGAGCGCCAACAGGTAGGGATGCACCTCATCATCGAATAGAGAGCGTAGCGTACTGGGTGTGGGTGGTCCGAGCCAGAGGGGGAGCATGGAGAGGTCGACCGCAGCCTTGTACTTCTGCAGTTGACGCAGAAGAATGTTGTGTGTATAGAGCGCGCTTGTGCGTATGTATGAGCTACATGCTCCACAGATATGTGCGTGTACGTACCGGCTTCTAACGAGAGTTAACGATTCATCAAGGTTATCAAGCTGGTCCCGAAGATAATGCACGTCTTGAACGTCAGGATCAACCATGCCCTTCGCGGGCTGTCCATACTTCCGTTCGTTCAGAGCCCCTTCTAGAGTTCCAGCGAAATGTACGAGGCCAGGAATCGAGGACACATATTTGTGCGGTCTGATTTCGCCCTTCCACTGTAACTCCAGGAGTTCGCTGATGACCTCCGCGCACGCCTTTGTCCTGGACAAAGGAAGCCTACCCGACCAAAGGCCTACACACGCCACGATGCCGAGAACGGCAATCGAGGCAGAGAAGCGGCTACTCCGCGCATGAGCTCAGGTCTAATGAGAGAATCCTTCGGAGTGCACTCACCGAGGGATACGAGAGAACATGGATGTAGGAGGTGGGCCGTTCCCTGTACGCGCTCTAGGAAGGGCTTATCTAGGGTCTCATCGATGCGTTACAAGCGATTCCATCAGTAACGCGGTCTGCGCACGCGATGGCCCATCGGCATAGCATGCGCGCGTGCACAGAACAAAGACCGGTCACCCCAAGACCTCGATGTAGTCGTGCGTAAACGAAGAAACAGCGAAGGGAGCTAGATGATAATGGCGATAATGAACGGAGTCAGATGCAGAACCTCTCCGCGTCCTACGACACCCGCGACCGACTAAACTGATGTCGAGGCTGGGCGGCGTTGCTCTTTCAAGTTTCCGGTGAGGAGTGTAGAGGCATTTTGGTTCGCTTCAACATGGCGACACCGATGAAGATTATGACTTTTGAAATACGCTAATACACCCTTTGGATTCGACATACTCGTGGGCGTGCACCCCTCCACCTCAAAGATGTCTGCTTCCGCGCGAATCAGTATAGTACTGATCAGCTTTGGATGACAGGCATAGAACATACTGGTACTTGCGGGGAACATCAGCTCCCGAAGCAACTGCTTGAGATTCCAATCCGGCCTTGCCACGGGTTCAGCGCCAATCTCATCTCGTAGGCCATGCATAAACCAACGCCTGGAAGAGCTCCGTCGCACGCCCATCACAGCCGTACAAATTGGGATATCCGTTGGCTGACCGTCGTTGCTGCCGCCACAAGTGTCCGGACATTTGTTTCAGTGTCTCGTACCTCAAGCTGTGGGAGTCATACGACGTACCTCGTTCTGTACGCCCAATGAGCGTTGCGTTATCACTCGCACTCATGCGGGCGTCTCAAGCGAGGCACCCGAAAAGCGGTGTCTATCGCATTCGCTTGGTAGTCTTACAGCGACCTGATCTCCCCACCAAACCCAACCGTTGCGCGTTTCGCATCGACAGCTGCTGTTCTCCTCTTCCTCCTCCTCCTCCGCCTTCAGAGCAGCTTCTCGGTTCGCGGGTGCAGCGCGTCAATCGCCGCCCTATCTACCTAGCCACGCGCAGCGACAAGCGCGGGCTCAAAACAAGCAGTGCGGACGCTGGCCACTGCGAATTGGGCTTGAGCTTGGGCGTGTCACGTTGAGAGCACGTCGAGCTCGTCGCATTGCGGGGTTATGCAATCGGATGCAACAGCCTGCCTCTACAATAGACAATGGAGTATCAGTAAGGTCTATTGGTGGATGGGAAGGAGAGGGTCGAATGCGTACCCGCAAAGACCTGGCCAATACGTCTGCAATGTCTTATCGAGCTTCGGATGCGACTTCTCAGCCGCGCCCTACTCATATCCGCCTCTCCACTCAACGCATTGAATCGTGCGTGTACCGTTCCATCCAGGAAACTCGGCCACCCTCACCAGATGTTCGTTCTTGCGCGGCGACAGCAGTAGAAGAGGTCATGGAGCCATCGTAGTTGAGGATCGTCAGCGTGAGCGTATGGCGCTCGTGAGACAACTCCTCAATTCGTGTGTTGAATATGTAGCGCTCGGCGTCTGTCCCCTTCTAAACCAGTAGACTCTGGGTAGCCATCGTAGCTTTGGCCAGCACGCCTCATTCTCGGGATATCTCTCCTCTGTCGAGCTGCTCCTCCGACTTCATGACGAGCGTGTGCAGCTGTCGATACTGGGCTTGCAAGATCGGCATAGAAGTGCCGGAGGCGAGTTCGTCGTGTCTGGTCCAGGACTGCAGGATAGAGATCCCATCGTTGTTCACGGAGAATCGTACAAGGCGTAGGGGGCCAGCTAGTAAAGAGGAAACCCAGAATAGAGAAGGTGTAAGTCACGGTGATGGCGGTTCGATGCAAAGAGGCGCCTGGACAGACTTCCTCTGTAAGTTCCATCAGGTGCCTTGCGATAAGTACTTAGTACTCGCGGGACATCTGCCTGTGCTAGCGCTAATACATTGCTTGACGCAAGCCTCACAGGTCGAGGCTGTCCATGACGTGCATATTCTACCCCGTCTAATAGTCGTTGCTCTCTCATGTTCATAGTTCAGTCAGACTGTCCGAACCAGTAACAAGTTGCAGCCATTCCTCACGCACATAGAAACACTACTACAGACATACGTTCCTAGGTAAGACTCGGTATCAAGGTACTCGCAACCTTCAGCGCCAAGGGCCGCCCCTCCACCTATGATGTGCCAACGTTGTCCCCGCATATCCCTCCGTCTCTCCGTAGAACCTTCCGTCCCCCGCGCTCGACCGTCCAATGAGAATCAATGCATACAGACCTATCTGATACGCTATCAAAGTCAGTGCTGCCACACCGATTGTTTCCAGCCACCATCGAATCCTGTGTCTTCGACGGATAGACAGTAGTGTCCTGTAGAGTGAATCCCGTTGCACTGCATCCACAATGTCAGCGATGAAACAATGGTGAAGGTATACGTCCCCTCACTCCGCACGCGCCCCAGCCGTTCTTCCGCCCAAGGGCCCGGGGGCCTACCGGTCCCTATGCTCAATGTTGAGGCGCCATGGATTAACGCAGCCCGTTCTAGTTGATTGATCAGTTGGATGCCCAGTACCCTCGCAACCATGTACGCACCAGTACGCGATGGAGGCCGTGAATGAACCTCTGAGGTAGTATCATCCGTAGCAACGGCTGCATCAGCGGTCGCGACTGGGGACAATCTCAATCTCTGAAGCTCGCCGAGTGAATTTGCGAGCTGCAGCGATGTAGAGTCCGCCTGCACCCGGGCCGCAGTGATCTCCGCTGCGCTGTAATGAGCCTGGCGTTCTAGTGCGTGTAGCAAATGACCGCACCTTCAAGTTCCTGCACCTTAGCATGCGAAGTACGAGCCGCGTCCCGTGCGGTGGTGAGCTCGGCAGTCAGGCGGTCGATCTCAGTAGTGATTCGCTGGCGGGCTTCGTCTGACTCGCGCGCGCGATCTAGTGGAACTCAGTCAGAGTACGTACAACCCGGTATAATGTACGCGCACCTTTATCTTCCCTGTCACGATGTATGTC